AGGGGCTGACTTGGAACGAGATGGTGGGTGGGCCTATTCCATCAGGTTGGAATGGGGGCTTGAGTGGCCCAGATGGAGACCTCCTTTGGGTCCTTGCCACAATGCCCTCATCACATAGGACGTTGAGCCCTAAGTCTCTACCTGGAGGTCCCAGTTAGACCCTGAGTTCTACAATCATAAGGGAATGATAGTTTTCTCCATGGTCAGTGGATTAGGGTGGGGCGGATGATGCAGTCCTAACCAGTTCCTAGCCCATTGTGGAAACAAGCAATTGAGACAGAGAGGGATGGAGGTGTTTTAGAGGGGCCCTGGATGCCTCCAGGTCCTCTTTTGGGCCTTGTTTCCACAGAGTCCCCCCAGGAGATCCGTGAGGAGGAGGAAGATGGCATAGTCTACAGCATCTACCACAGGAAAGGGGCCAGGAAGGGCTGGAACAGGGTCTGGGTGAGTGCAGAGGGTAGGATCTCCACCCAAGGATCCCACCCAAGGACCTCAGATGATCAGAGGGGGCCGGGGACCAAACACCACCCTGAAGACCCCAGACTCTCTCCCAGGACTCTCCTTCCTGGGGCCCCCAGTCTCCACCCTAAAGAGTCGGCCGCCAGCCTTTACACCTGCCCCAACTGCCCTGCCCTCCCTGACCAGGTGTAAAGACACTTATTCCATATTTGTAGGATGATCAGAAAGGAGTCTTCTACCCTGTTTCCATGTCACGTCCACACGTGTATCCTGCACGTCACTCCTGCTTTAATGTTTAATGCCCATCCTTGGTTTCCTGACATCAGTCGCCTAGATTGGCCTTCCATACATCCTTCCAGCCTCACACAATTTCTTTTAACCAAAAATGCAGGGTTCAGGATAAGATATACCTGCTTCTGCTATCTACATTCTTGGGGAACCCATCGCCATGACCCCTGCAGGTCAGGAACTGTTCTGACTCGCCTGCTAGGAAAATTGCAGAATGGAGATCGGGTCCCCCACTGCTAAAAGGACATGGACGTGACATCTTCTGAGCTCCTCTAATCTCTCAAGGGGGAAACAGTCACCATCTGCAGCCCAAGGCTTATTCCTAAGAGGCAGACATACTGCTTTGATTACTAACTGTCACACCAGCCACCCCTCCAAAGACACGCACTACTTCTCTGCTTCCTTTTCTCTCTGCCGGACATCTCTCTCTGCTCAGGGTCTCTCTCTGCTGAGCGACTGCCAATGGGTCCAGCACAGGGACCTCAGGTCCGAGGATGCACTCTGCTTCACCCCCACCTCTTCTCTCCTCATGGCAGTGAAATCTCCTCTCTGCCTCTAGAAGGGCCCATTTTCAGCCTGGCAGAGTGACAAAACTAACTAATCCCAGCATCAGAGTTCAACACACCTTGTTTGCATGGTCCCATCCAGTAATCCTGTGGGAGTCACAAAGACAATGTCTAGAAAAGCCATACCAAGTCATTCACTGCAACACACTCACTCATGGAGCCTTTCATTGCTGCTGACCCAGGACTGATGCCGTTCTGCTGTCCAAATTTCAGCAAGGCTTCAGGGACCCTCATGTGGGTCCTTTTCCACTAACCACCCAGCACAGATCCCACTCGTAGAATGCAGGGACTAAAGTTCGAGCGCTGCAGTCAGAATTTTTCCCAAACTGGGGTAGCTGTCACACGGCACCACCAGTCTGTGAGGGTGGTTGGTCCCTGCATGAAGCCTGTCCTGATGTGATGGTTCCTTTGCATTGGTGCCAACCTGTTTGGGTGGCCCCTGGAACTGCAGGTGGCTTTGAGGTATGGCCCTCACCAGCTGAGCCACCTCTCAGTCCTTCACCACCCATATGGATACTCTACCTTTAAGTTTTCTGGAAAATTATTGGTCCTGTGAAGGTTGGTATCCTGCCATGAGAGCTCCAGTTTCTCAACTTTGGCTGGATGTGGGACCACCATAGCTTCTCCAAAGACCCTTTCATGTACAGAAAGAACAATCCATGTCATGCTTTGCCATTAGAGGGGATCTTGTGGGGTGTGTCTACTCTATGTTTTGTCTCCAGTTAGGGGAGGGGCAAGTGAATCTGTACAAGATGTCCCCACTGCCCCTCCGCCATGCCCCACACTCAAGTCAGGAGCAGACTGGGCCTCACTAGCACCTAGGGATCATCCCAGAACCCAGGGGTCAGGAGGTTCTGGGTAGGACAGTATGGCTTTGAGCAGACACTGGACCTGGCTCAGCCTCTGTTTCCTCATCTCTGCAATGGGGTGTTTTGTGAGGACCTAAGGGGCTACTACTGCTGTTCTTATAGGGAGATACCATGATTAGTTAGTGATCACAATGACCTCTGCTCCCTCATACTTTTGGACATCCTCACCTCACATTCTGCTTCAAACACTGAGCTCCGATTTCTGCTAGATGCACTCGTGTCTCAGCTCCTGCCACAGGTCACTGGTCTGACCTTCAGTTCCCGATCTGCCTGCTGTGTCCCTGGGCTGCCTGTGATAGTATATCCCTCCTCTGTCCCACTCCAGTGTGTCTGTGGCTCAGACCAGGACGTGGAGGAGGTTGGCGTGGTGCGGACCGTCAAGGCAGGCAGGGTGGACAAGCTTGTGGAGCACCTGGTGCCTGCCTTCATGGAGGGGGACTTGGCCTACATGAAGTTGTTTTTGGGCACCTACAGAACGTACATCACCATGCAGCAAGTCCGGGACCTGCTGTTCAAAAGGTGAGTGCCCACCTTTTGCCACCAGCTACCAGCTGTGAGTCAGGAATGTCATTTCACTATCAGAGCCTCAGTTTGCTTCCTAAGGGACCAATCAGCTAGGATTACTGCAGGGACCCCATGGGACATGCCATGGGAAATGTGCACCTGGAGCCCAGCCCTGCAGAAGAGCCTGCCTGAGAGGCTGTAATATGTCCTTCCCTTGTTTTCCTCTCCCACTTGAAAAGTCAGCTTCACATCTCCCTGACCATGTGCCTTTAAACAAACTTAAATCCCATTTATAAAGGGGGTTGTGATTGCATCTAGTGGGACCTTGTCCTCGGTGTTGCCAGAGAGGGGTCCCCAGTTGGCAGAGGGGCCTCGGGCCTGGTAGGTATCAGGGAAGGTGCAGGTGGAGTGGGGGACTCGGCAGTTACCTGTGAAGTCCCTACTGCTGTAGATACTGTTCTAGGCACTTTGCATCATCCCATGAACTAAGCAGACTGGAAGCCCCGTCTTCCTGGGCCACCATTTCAGTCATGGAGTCAGTAGGAAGTCCAGCCCTTACTGGCCTTCATTTCAGTCAGAGAGTCCTACAGTATTTCCTGGGCCTCTATTTGAGTCAGGGAGTCAGACTGAAACACTGTCCTCCTAGACCTCTATGTCAGTCAGGGAGTCAGAAAGGAAGTCCCACCCTCCTAATCAGGCAGCATCCACAGTGCATTAGATGTGATGCCCCCACATCTCCTCCAGGTAAGGATGCAGCTGCCCTCATTCTGCTGAGGACAGTGGAACCCCAGGACCAGTAGAAAAAGTGAGTGGGCTTTGGGTGGTGAAGGAGGGGCTCCTGTCTCCATAGGGGGTGGGGCTTGTGAGGACCCCAGTTTGCATTCGGGCTGAGAGACCTTGGGCGCTGCCCATCCTGAGGACCCTGGAGCGCCGCCTGCAGGAAGACAGCAGTCACAGGCATCTGTAGGTGGGGACCTTGCATCTTTGGGAGAAGAGGACAGCCTGGGGGCTCAGAGGGGTCCCTAAAAGAATGTGTGCACCTAAAGTACCCTCCCAGCTCTGTGTGCCCCCTTATCTATGGGGAGCCAAAACAGGAAGTGTCAGAAGAAACCTGCTCCAAGATCCCAACCCCCAGTGGTGGAGGATCGGTGGCATATGGTTCCCTGTCCTTTGGGGACAGTCGGTGGGAGAAGAGATCATCATGGGCACAGAAAACCAGACAGAACACAGGTACACAAGTTGAGGACTTGGGCAGGTTGTGTAGGGGGACCCCAAATATTCCTCAGCTAGAGCAGACTGGGGCAGGGGGACCCCATATGTCCCTCAGTGTGGGCAGGCTGGGGGAGGGGTACCACATGTGTACCTCAGTGTGTATACGCTGGGGCAGGGTGACGCCATGTGTCCCTCAGGGTCATGTATTCATGGAGCATTGTGAGGTGAATTTGCAGAAACTCTCCTGGCCTCCAGTGCTAACTCCCCTGTGGAAATGGGGCAGACAACTGATGGGGATGTAGGTCATGCTTCGGAAGAATGAACCGTTGGTCAGACCACTGATGGAGAACCCAGATACTAAGGTTCTGTTCCAGCCCCTCTTCAGTGACCAGGCCTGCCACTGCCAGGACAGCCGGAGTGGATGGGCATGGGCCTGGGCTCTGGAAGAGGTGTGCAGGCAGAGGGACTCAGCCTGTTGCAGGGGTGCCCTGGGAGTGCGGTGTGGTGGGAAAGGACAATCTTCTGACCCTGCTCTTCCACACCCACCCACCACCACAGCCATCACCTTCATTCTGGCTGGATGACTACCCAGAGGATTTCCATCAGTCCCCGGACTTCCCCTGCCTCAAGGCAGTCGTCGAGTACCTGCATGTGAATATGCCTGGCTCGGACTTGGAGCACCGTGCCCAACTTCTCCTTGGCCAGCTAGATCCCCTGGAGCCCACTGAGGCAGATCCAAGAGGTGAGGAGGACTGGGCATCTTAGCTGGTGAGTGGTAAGGGGGCATGGATGATGCAACACAGGGAGGATTCAAGAGGCTGGTGTTGGGCCAAAGCTCTAAATGGGTGAACAGATGGGAAGACATCCTAGGAGGAAATCTTGGGAATGGGTTCTCCTCATGGCAGTAGGATGATTTTTGTAATTGGAAAGGCATGAAGAAAGGCACTCATGTTGTTGACATTTTCTTGCAACTCCACAGGCAAGACCAATTGTAAGAGTAGCCCAAGATACAGCAGCCCCTCCAGAACCAACTCAGGGATCACCTGGTGAACCCCAACCTGTTAGTGCACCTAATAACGACCTCCATGGGGCACCAGATCCGTCAGTACCAGCTCCAGTGGATAGCTGACAGAGAGCCAGCTGGAGAGCTGGAGATTCTTCCTAATGCATCACCAGAAGTGAACGAAGGACCCTCTGGTGATGTAGATCCAGATGCTGAAACAAACTCAGGGCCCCATAGAGCCTCAGACCCACCAGCACCAGGTCCATCACTGGAGATTCTTCCTGGTTCACTACCACAAGTCAGTCAAGAACCCTCTGGTGATGTGGATACATATGCTGAAAAAAAATCTGGGCCCCAGAGATACCCAGATTGACCATCACGAGCTCCATCACTGGAAGCTGACAAAGACCCAGCTGGGAAGCTGGGAATTCTTCCTACTCCATCACCAGAAGGGAAAGAACCCTCCATTATTGTGGATCCAGATGCTGAAACAAAATCAGGGCCCCGTAGGGCCCCAGATCCACCACCACCAGCTCCATCACTGGAAGCTGATGCAGAGCCAGCTGGAGAGCTGGAGATTCTTCCCGGTCCACCACCAGAAGCAAATGGCAGGCACCGTGGCAATGTGGGTCCTGACCCAGAAACACCATCGGAGCTCCTCAGTGCACCAGATCCGTCACCACCAGTGTCCTCGCCAGCACCTGACGGAGGGCAATCTGTGGAGGGCTGGAGACTCTTCCTTGCACTCTGCCGGCAGAGAATCGTGAACCACCTTCTGATATCCATCCTGCTTCTCCCATAACATCATGGCTTACTGAAGCACTACATCCTCCCTCTGCAGATATGGCCCCAGTGGAGAGGTCAAGCCACGTGCTTCTCACTAATCAACAAAAAGTTTATGTACAGTCTGGTGTAGGAAGCGGTCCATGTGGGATGGTGACACCATGAGTTTCCATGCTGAGTGATACCGATCCTGGACCAACACTGTATTTACACTTTCTTGCATGGAAGGTTGTAGCCATGCAAAAGGAGGGGAGCAAAAGGGCTGTGCTTATGTGGGTTCTGGTGGCCAGAAGACTGCAGGTATCACAGGGGGTGAAACTTGGAAAGATGGGGCTGTGGAGTGAGGGGCTGGGAAGTGGGAGGGAGTGTGGAGTGGTGACTAGGAGAGGAGTTATGGGATTGGAGGAGGAGTGTGGAGTGGGAGCGAATGTGTGATGGAAGGGGGAGTGGGGCAGGAGGGTGTGTGTGTGGCGTGGCACGGGGTGTGAGGAATAAGAGAAGGGTGGGTGTGACGGGAGAGGGTGTGTGTGATGGGAGAGGGTGTGTGTGACGGGAGAGGGTGTGTGTGACGGAAGACGGTGTGTGTAGCGGGTTTGAGGAGGTGTGTCGTGGGAGGGGGTGTGTGTGGCAGAAGAGGTGTGTGTGCAGCAGGAGGGTGGTGTGTGTGACAGGAAGGGTGTGTGTGATGGTACTGGGTATGTGAGGGGAGTGGTGTGTGTGATGGGAGGGTGTGTGTGTGATGGGAGTGGGGTGGGTGTGACAGGAGGGGTTGTATGTGCTGGTAGTTGGTGTGTGGAGGAGGGGTGTGTGAAAAGAGGGTGTGTGTGATGAGGGGGTGTGTGTGGGTGATGGGAGGGTTGTGTGTGTGATGGGAGGGTTGTGTTTCTGACGGGGTTAAGTGTGATGGGAGGGTGTGTGTGTAATGGGAGGGGGTGAGTGTGATGGGAGGGTGAGGGTGGGGAAAGGAGTGTATGTGACAGGAGAAGGTGTGTGTGATGGGAGGGGTGTGTGTGAAATGAGGGGTGTATGTGATGGGATGGTGTGTGGGAATAGAGGTGTGTGTAGTGAAGGGTGTGTGTGTGATGGAGGGTTGTGTGGGGGGAAGGGTGTGACAGGAGAGTGTATGCTTGGTGGGAGGGAGTTTGTGACAGGAAGGGTGTGTGTGAGGGGAGGGTTATGTGTGAGGGGAGGGTTATGTGTGATGGGAAGGGTATGTGTGACGGGAGGGTTGTGTGTGACGAGAGGGGTGTGTGTGGGGAGGGCACTGTGTGATGGGAGGGGTGTGTATGATGGAAGGGTTTTGTGTGTGATGGGGTGTGTGTGACAGGAGGGGTGTGTATGGGGAGGCCTGTTTGTGATAGTAGGGGGTTTGTGTGAGGAGGTATTTGTGTGTGACAGGAGGGGTGTGTAAGAAGGGAGAGTGAGTGATAGGAAGGTGTGTGTGTGAATGTAGTGGGTGTGTCGGGGGAGAGGTGTGTGTGATGGGAACACATGTGTGAGGAAAGGGTGGGTGTGACAGGAGGGGTGTGTGTGGGGGTTGGAGGAGTGTGTGAAGGGAGGAATGTGTGTAAAGGGAGGGGTGGTTGTGAAGAGGGGTGTGTGTGACAGGAGGGGTGTGTGTTTGATGGGAGGGGTGTGTGTGGGGAAGGAACTGTGATTGATGGGAGAGGGTGTGTGTGATGGGAGGGGGTGTGTAGATGGAGGGGTGTGTGTGATGGGATGGTGTGTGTGATGGGAGGGATGTGTGTGGTGAGGGGTGTGTGTGTGTGATGGGAGGGGGCTGTGATGAGAGGGGTGTTTGTGACAGGAGGGGTGTGTGTCACAGAAGGGGTGTGTGTGATGGCAGGGGGTATGTGTGATGGGAGGGGTGTGTGTTGGTAGATGTGTGTGTGTGAAGGAGGGATTGAGTGGGGGAGGCGGTGTATTTGACAGTAGTGTGTGTGTGTGGTGGGATGGGGTGTGTGATGGGAGCAGTGTGTGTGATGGGAGGGTTGTGTGTATGGGAGGGTTGTGTGTGATGGGAGGGAGTGTGTGGGGAGGACTGTGTGTGTGACTGGAGGGGGTGTGTGATGGGAGGGAGTGTGTGTCAGGAGGGGGTGTTTGGGGAAGAGGTGTGTGCCATGGGGAAGTGTGACACAAGAAGTGTGTGGGGAGAGTTATGTGTGTGATGGGAGGGGTGTGTGAAGGCAGGGGATGATTGTGATGGGATGGGGTGCGTAGAGGGAGGGTTGTGTTTGACGGGAGGGTTGTGTCATGGGAGAGGGGCATGTGACGGAAGGGGTGTGTGGGGAGGGATGTGTGTGTGGATGGGTGTGTGTGATGGGAGGGTGAGTGTGACAGAACAGGGTGTGTGGCTGGAGGTGTGTGTATGTGGAGGGGTGTGTGTGTGATGGAAGTGGTGTATTGTGACAGAAGGGGATTGTGAGACAGAAGAGGTGTGTGTGAGGAGGTGTGGGGGGATGGGTGTGTCTGATGGGAGGGTGTGTGTGTGATGGGAGGGTGAGTGTGTGACGGGACAGGGTGTGTGGCTGGAAGGGTGTGTGTGCAGAGGGGTGTGTGAATGTGATGGGAAGGGTGTGTGTGACAGGAGTGGTGTGTGTGGGGAATGGTATGTGGGGAATGGGTGTGTGTGACAGGAGAGTGTGTGTGATGAGAGGGTGAGTGTGTGACAGGATGGGGTATGTGGCTGGAGGGGTCTGTGTGGGGAAGGCTGTGTGTGTATGAAGGAGGGATTGTGTGGTGCGAGGGTGTGTGTGTGATGGGAGTGTGTGTGTGTGATGGGAGTGGAGTATGTGATGGAAGGGTTGTGTGTGATGGGAATGGGTGTGTGGGGAGGGCACTGTGTGTGATGTTAGGGGGTGTGTGTGAGGAGGGGTGTGTGTTTGATGGGAGGGGTGTGTGTGTCGGAAGTGGGGTGTGTGGGGGGGGTGTGTTAGGGGAGTGGAGTGTGATATGGGAGGGTGTGTGTGTGGTGGGAGGCGGTGTGTGATGGGAGGGGTCGTGTGATGAGAAAGAGTGTTTGTGGGAAGGGGACTGTGATGGGAGGGTGTGTGTGTGTGAAGGAAGGGTGTGTGTATGACAGGAGGTGTAAGTGTGTGGAGGGGTGTGTGTGACAGAAGGCAGGTGTGTGACTGGAGGGTGGGGTAGTGTTGAGGGGTGTGTGATGGGAGGAGGGTGTGTGTGTGATGGGAGGGTGGGTGTGGGGAGAGGTGTGTGTGTGATGGGAGGGTGGGTATGAGAGGAGGGGATTGTGTGATGGGAGGAGGTGTGTGTGATGGGAGGGGTGTGTGTGATGGGAGGGATGTGTGTGATGGGAGGGGGTGTGTGAAGGTAAGTGGTGTGTGTGATGGGAGGGTGTGAGTGTGGGGAGGGGTGTGTGGGGAGGGGTGGGGGGGATGGGTGTGTGTGATGGGGAGTGTGAGATGGAAGGGTGAGTGTGTGACGGGATGGGGTGTGTGTGGGAGGGATGTGTGTGGGGAGGGTATGTCTGTGTGATGGAGGGATTGTGTGGTGGGAGGGGGTGTGTGACAGGAGGGGTGTGTGTGATGGGAGGGTTGTGTGTGATGGGAGGGGTGTGTGGAGAGGGCACTGTGTGTGACAGGAGGGGATGTGTGTGAGGAGGGGTGTGTGTGTGACAGGAGGATGGTGTGTATTGGAAGGGGATGTGTGGGGGGAGAGGTGCGTGTGTGTGTTGGGAGATAATGTGTGGATGGAGGGGTGTGTGTGATGGGAAGGGTGTGTGTGTGACGGGAGGGGGTATGTGAAAGTAAGCAGTATGTGTGATAGGAGGGGGTGTATGATGGGAGGGGTGTGTGTGACAGGATGGGGTGTGTGTGGGAGAGGTGTGTGTATGTCGGAGGGGAGTGGGGCAGGAGGGATTGTAGGGTGGGAGGGTATGTGACGGGAGGGTGTGTGTGTGGTGGGAAGATGTGTGTGATGGGCAGGGTGTGTGTGATGCAGTGGGTGTTTGTGATGGGAGGGGGTGTGTGAAGGTAAGGGGTGTGTGTGTCAGGATGGGGTGTGTGTGGGGAGGGGTGTGTGTAACAGGAGGGGTATGTATGTCAGGAGGCGATGTGTGGGGGAGGGGTGTGTGTAACGCAAGGGGTGTGTGTGTGACAGGAGAGGGTGTGTGAAGGTAAGCGGTGTGGGTGACGAGAGAGGGTGTGTCTGGGAAGGGGTGTGTGTGATGGGAGGGGTGTGTGTGGGGAACGGTGTGTGTGGGGACGGTTGTATGTGATGGGTGTGTGTGTGATGGGAGGGTGAATGTGTGACAGGACGCGGTGTGTGGGGGCAGGGGTGTTTGTAAGACGGAGCAATTGTGTGGTGGAAGGGTGTGCGTGTGATGGCAGGGGGTGTGTGTGGTGGGAGGGGGTGTGTGACAGGAGGGGTGTTGGGGAGGGGAGGGTGTGTATGGGTGGGAGGGGTGTGTGGAGCAGGGGGTGTGTGTGACAGGAGGGGATGTGTGTGAGGAAGGAGTGTGTGTGATGGGAGGGGGTGTGATGGGAGGGGCTGTGCGTGGGCAGGGGTGTATGGAGGAAGGGGTGTGTGATGGGAGGGTGTGTGTG